CCTTTAAATTACATCCCTGAAAAGAAAATTACAGATTTAACAATGATATAAAAATACTGTAAATCTGTTAGAATTTGTATTAAAAATAAAGAAAACAAAGCACCTTATTATTATGACAGAAATGTTTCCATAAAGTACCTGTAAAATATTCTAATAATCTGATCCAGCTGTAATTTTACAGGAAGGGCTTTTTTTCCTACAAGGATGTTATTTGTAATATTAATGAATATTATCTGTAGTCGCTGTTTTCAATCATTGTCAGTGGCTGCTTTTTGTTGTTTTTGGTTGCTGTTTCTGATTTTTTCAATCAAATATTAGTCACCATTAGTCATTTTCAGACTCCGTTTTCGGTTGTTTTTAGTCGTCTCTAGTCGTTGTTTTTAGTCACACTTTTTAGTCGTTTTCAGTTGCTTGTTTTTAGCATTTTAAGTCACTTTTTAGAATAAATTTTTAGTCATTTTTAATTGGTGTTTTCAGTCGTCTCGTCATTTTTAGAATAGTTTTCATTCATTGTTATTTGCTGTTTTCTGTCGATTTCTGATGCTGTTCTCTTTAACTCATTTCAAGTCGCTGTTATCAGCTGTTTGCTGTTGTTTTGAGTCACTAGTTTTTATTCACTTTCAAACCCGGAGGTTAACATCAGAAGCAGGCGCCGTGGCTCCAGACGTTCTCAAGCATTTATGTTCACTTAAACCTGGATCTGATTGTAAACTGAACCAAACAGAGTGAAAACAGCATTCAGGGCACAAAGTAAAATAAAAACAGTTCACATTAGCCTCAGTCTGGGTCGACGTTCTGGTGTCAATCAGTGTTGAATATTAATGCTGCAGTATTTATTCCAGATTAATAAATATCTGCACACCGATCCACCCAACAAACAATCCAGAACATTACTTTCAGCTTTGAGGAGAACTCGTCTGATCTAAATGTGTTCTGTTGTCTCCTCACAGGAATCACTAATAGACTGCTACAAACCCACAGAGGTGAGTCCAACACACCTAAAATCACCTGTTTGATGCTCAAACCGTTACTCAAGCAGCTGACGGGACTCCTCGGTGCGTTCTGGGCCGGTAAACGGGGGTTTGTCCGAGGTGGACTTAAGCTATTTTGGTGATTAAAGGTGACCAATCAGGCGGCGGCGCTCCCCGGACCTCCATCTGTCATGGTGCCGGGTCAAACGCTACAAGGACGTCCAGCCAGGTGGACAAACACCTCCAGACTCCCGTAATCCTCCCCCGAGCAGCGCCGAGGACACTTAAAACCCCGCAGAGATAAACAGGAGAGGAGGAAACTTAGAGGAGACGAAGGAGAGGAGGGATTATAAAGAGATGGGAGCTGAGGAGGAGGAGGAGGAGGAGGCAGTAATTAGGTCAGAGTCACCGCGGGTATAACGAGGTTTATATTCCAGCAGATTCTCCTGTTTCATCACAGACCTCCAACAACCTTCAGCCTCTTTGTCCTCCTGATTTAAATCTCTGTGGATCAGTTTTTATGCTCGACTCCTTCAGCTCATATCAACGTCTTCTCGACTCCTTCAGCGTTGTTTTGATGCTCACGTTAACCGTCTGACTGCTGCCAGCTTAACTCATTCACAACATTCATAAACATCTCACGCACCTCGTCTTTATTTACTGAAACTAGATATTTACATCCAGCTGTCTGTCATGTTTGCCCTTTATTAAACTTTATCCTACATGTAAATAATAAAGAATAAATAAATGTTTTGCATCCATCTTGATATAAAGTCTGTTAAACACAAACGAATCAAGTCATCAGACGGGCTTCAGTTTGTCAAATCAAACAGGAACTAATCACGTTTTTTAATAATCTTGTTCTTGACTTGTGGTTGTGTCTGACTCTGGGTTTCTCGCCTCCCTGCAGGACTTTGTCCGCGAGCTGCTGGGCAGGATAAGGGGGATGAGGAAACTCAGCGCTCCAACCAAGAAGGGCCTATAATGGTTTCACTGGGAACCACCAATCAACCATAAACTCCCGTCATCTCGGCTCCACCTCCAGTACCGAACCCACTACGACACGGACCGTCAGAATAATCCGCCGAAGCGTCATAGGAGCTGTTCTGCAACCTGCAAACCCGCACCAGTAAACCCATGAGTAGAGCACTAGTCGTCCATCCCACCCCCCACACAGGTGTATTATAATAATATCTGACTGTTGAAAGGTACGCAAAGCCAACGTGTTTGAATCACCACAATAAAAGCCCTGGAATGTGCCAGAACTGCAACTTTGCTTTTCAAACTAGAAGTCAAACAGCCATAACGAGAAGAGGTGGTCAAAAAAAACAAAACAAAACAGAAGTTGCAGTGGGTGAGAACTTAGCCGTAGCACGACGTAAACACAGCGCTTCATGATCCCGTCGTTTTCTACTGAGGTGTTTTTGCTGTTTTAAGCTGTACTGTATGTTGCCATTTATCGTTCATGTGATTGAGACGTGCTTTTTGTTTTTTTGTCCTTATTACCCGAAGCAGCTCTGTCCGTTCATTTTAGAAACACGCGGAGCTTCGGTTCTGTCCTTTTTGATCGTGGAGACGACGCCGTTAGCGAACCAGGCTAACGCGGCGTTTTTTTTCTCCCAGCGTTCTAGTTCACCACAGCGAGGCATGATGGGTGTTGTAGTCCTCTGCGTTGGGACTACAAGCACCTGAATGATTGGCAGCCTTTCACTGGTCGCGTTATTCGGTGTTCTTCATGCTCATCACCGCACATATCAGCCGGTCATTAAGCACAAGCGTTGCTTCTCACCTGGTTCGCTGCTGACTGACAGGTGTTGCCTTTAAGGACATTCAGGATCAGTCCACCTTTTACTCAGAACCTCAAAATACGAGTCAGAACCTGAAGAAAGCTCCGACCTGTCGAGTCCTGCAGGGGAAGGTGTGCCAGAACTGGGAGCGTTACATCCGAGAGCTCAACCCGTCATTAGGGCGACGCGGTGCTAACACACTGATCGTTTGTTGAGTTTGTGAAACACCTTGGAGTGGGCGCAGCATTTTAAGACGTTTTTTCCAGGTTGCAGAATATATGTTGTAATTGCATAATCCCAGTTTTAAATGGTTGGATGGACTGCGGCTGCTCCGACACACTCAGAAACCCTGTAAGCTCTGGAACAATCATGACTCTGAGAGGCCCAGTTTCACTTTAGTCAGTGGAGCAGATCGAAACCTGCGATGTGACGCAGTTACAGCAGAAGGTGATGCAGCCGAATGCGACGTCACGGAAACGTCAAAGATTTTTACCCTTTAGATTAAATACCCAAAGTAGGAACTCAATAGAAGTCAGTCTCTATCCTTCTCTCATCAAACTTGTCCTGGTGTAGAAGCTCTTGATGATGATGTTCTCTGGATGTTCTCCTGCTGGAATGTTCCTCTTCT